GGCCACATGATCCCTAAGGCCCCGAACTCCCCTTAGACTGGCGTTTCTAAAGGGGAGTTTCTCACACTCTCGGTTAATCGGTTTGCTCCCACATTAGGTTCAGAGTACAACGTATTATTTGATCTTGGTTTTCCGGCCAGTGTACGTCGACCAGTTGCGCAATCTCTGGCATAGTGGTTCTTCCCACCACAATTTGAACAAGTTTCACCTATCCGCCTCACTACTCCATTGCGCAAAGGACAGTCCCTTCCCATATGCCTTTGCCTGTGCATTCGTAGCAGCGTATTACGTCTTGCTCGCCCTCAGCAACTACTATTGTTGTCAGCGAGGCTCGCCTAACTGTATTGCTCGGACTTCCCATAGAGTTTGTACCGCTAGTGTTGCCTGTAGTTCCGGTAGTACCAGTACTAGTACTACTAACTCCAGTCTAGCTAACGCTTCCGCCTTCCAATCCCTGCGGCATTTCCACACTCTTGATCTCCCGCTCCATGCGCCTCCTCTTCGAACGCCAAGCCATCAGTAGGGTTGCATATTCTCTTAGCGTGGTGGCCGCCTCCTGCCAGCTTGGAAATTCCTTCTTTCCTCTCTTAGTTAGCTTCTCACCTTTTTCCCCCGATAATCCCGCGAAGTAGCACATCAGCAGTTCCTCTTCGGGAATAGTTTCTCCTTGAGCGACTACTTCGGCAAATCGAACGATGTACTCGTTGTAGTCTCCCCGCCAGCGATTGTTCACCGAACGCTCCATCATATTTCGCGCGACAGTGAGCAGAATCTCTCGCACAGCCTTTCTCGTACGAGCTGCCAATCTGCCATTTCCGTCCCCGAGCGCTGCATGAGTTCCGAATGTACCATGGCCTTGCCCGTCAAGTACTTCCTTAAATGGAGTCCCCACTGTTCTTCTGGTACCTCCATTTCTCGGAAGTCCTGTTCTAACTGACAAAGGAAGGAACGCATGTTGGTCCCGTCGTCGTCACGGCGATTCCCTTTCTGGGGGTTGGTTCGGCTTTCGGTGTTGGCTCGGCTTTTGTCAGTCACTTGGCGATGCAACTTCAATAATTCCAATTTCCACTCGAAAGGGGGTTTCCGGGATTTCCCAGGGTCTCCGGTTCCTTCAGCGTCCTGGTCCTGGTTCCTCGCGGGGGTCGAGCCCTTCCTACTCACAGTTGGCCCGCCTCAATTTCCAGCTCGGGAAAGCTCCGACTCCACAGTGCTAGCCTCCTAAATATATTCCAGAATGGCGCATCAGCCTTCCTGCGTTTGTATTCTTCTTCCCACGCGGACAACATTTCGTAGTGAGCCCTTTCCATCATCGTGAGCCAAGAGCACAGCAACCGCCCTGTGGTCTGAGTTTCCAATACTTCTCCCCCATCCACGGTTGACCCACCAGTCGGTGTCACAACAAGATTCCCAGCCTTGCCAACTCGGCAGCCCTACTAATTTCCCGCAGCGCCTCTTCGAGGGCGGCATGGTCATTCAGATTCTTCTCCCTCAGGTATTTCAACCTCGCCAGCGAGCGCCCGATAAAGTTCGGGGCCGTACGCTCAATCAGCTTGCAGTAGTCCGGCGTCTTCACCCTTTCGATGGCGTCCGCCCGGCGACGGAGTTCCTCTCCCAATATTACCTCGTCGACTCCCAAGAAATCCGACCATATCTCGTTGTTTTCAAAAACGCAGCCCTTTGTTCTTCGATGTAATCCCTTTCTTTGGCGCCCGAAATCCATCCGCCGCATCTTCCCAATCCTTTCGCTTGATATCGTGTCGAGCTGCGCAAGCTCTTCATGCCATGTCGATTGCAGTGCAATCGGGGGCTCAAGCATGTGCAGCTCGCGCGTCAGCGCTGGATCGAATTTCTCAGCGAGGTCCAGCCGTCGCTCAGTCGCCGACTGTATCAGTTTTTGTATGTTCTCTTACCGCCGCACCTCCTCATTAACCATCTTGCGGTACTCTGAGGCTAACTGCACCCTTCGATTCCATAATATCTCTCATTCTGGGCCAAGTCCCTTTTTCTCTGGTGCGTTTGGCTATCTTGTTCCTCCTGAGGACTATCACCTTTTGGTCGTCGTCCTGTTTCCGGGAGAGATTATTTTCGTGGAAATACTTTGTTTGTACGTGCGTCATGAATTGCTAAAGAGCGACCAATCGCCTCTTGGTATGTACAGGCATCGCGAGAATTAGAGCACCTGGGTGTCCGGCTTCCGCGACGGCGCGCGACCACGCGACATCGACGTCCTCTTTTTTTTTCCGCGAGCTTTATGGCGCCCTCCTCTTGGTTCGAAACTACAGCCATCCGTCGTCGTGGTTCTTCAAGGCTTTCTCGTCGATCACGCTACTCAGGGCATCCGCCTTGCTCAGGGCCTTCGTAAATAGCTCCATCGTCCATAGGATGGGCGCGGCGAGCTCAGGGCCAGGCGGCTCGCTCTCCCGATGGGATCTTGTCCTCCGCAGTTCGGGAAAATCAGCGCGGCTCGGGAAAATGCCCGCAATTTCTCTCGGTGGGCTTTCAATGTCACCTCGGTTGGCGTAAGTGGTTGTCCCGTAGTCCTTCCGCGATGGGGTTGCATACAGGCGTCCCCTTGTCCCTTGGATGCGGGAGTCCCCCTGGGTTCGTGAGTTTAGGTAATTTTTTCCTACTAAGGAAAGGGGTTTGGCTATATTTTGGAAGAAAGTTCGCCTTTCCTTCCCGGAACAGCCCCCAAATTGTAATGCACCGGTGACAATCAACACTATGGCTGGTATGCGAAGGACTGCCTGAATGACTTGTTTGTTACAACTTAACTGTATATCCGTTAAATCAAGGGTTTATGTCGATACTCGAACTAAAACCAAATTTCCCGCCAAGAATGTTCTGCCCAGATCCAATAGGACCCGACCTTCCGCTAGCGATCCGCCAGCGGCCGCTAGATCCGCAGGGTACGACCGATCCATGCTCCGCGGTACCGGCCTCTCTCTCTCTATGAGACTGCGACTATGGTATACGGTTGCCCGTAAAGCGCATTACTAGTCTAAATTGATACGAAACTATAGTCAGTTTATCCTACTTATTACTTTTTCTAATCTTTAGTTCATTCGCTTATCTAGTTTCCTATTCTAACCGCAGTACTTTGAAGTGCGAGTGCACTACAGAAACCCACTCGGGATCGCGTGTGCCCGGCCATTTGACGCAATATTCGCGTTTCCGATGGCCGTGGCGGG